AATGACCTGCAATCCCTTAGGGAAAGGCATCACGCAGGGCAAAGCTGTGGTTCAGATTCAAAGTCAAGCTTCAGCTAAATGGAGACCAGTCTGACAATGACCCTAAGACCTTCCTGAAGTCTGCAGTAGTGATGGTATGGCAATGAAGCAAATTGGATCAGCTTCCTAGTATAATTTTTAAAAGAGCCCCAACACCAGGGAGAGGTGAAAGTACCTTGCTGGGGCAATGGCAAGTCAGACAGTCACAAAATTGTGGCTTAAGTGCTAAGTAGATTAACCTGAGAGCTATTCTTTAGAGAGTTCAACGGGCCAATTTTTGCTCTCAATTATGCTGAAGTCAAGGAAGTAAGTCTATTGTCACTTCAAGAAGTATTTCACCTCAATTTTTCACTGCGGCTGCATGCAGCTGTGACAGACCAAAGTGCATCAGCAAGATATTCACAAAGCGCCACGCCTCCAGACACACACACACACGCACACTCTACCCAGCCCCGGCTTAATTCTTCCAGTGTCAGCTACAACATCAAAATGACAAAACCCGATGGTTTTGTTCAAGAGAACATCTTTTACTGCCGAGGAAGAGGCACAAAGCAGCAGGTGGCATTTGTTTTTTTTCCCTTGAAAGAAGTCAATCCCCTGTGCTTCAATTACATGTGGGATTTTTCCCATCAGTTAAGTGCAACCCATTTCTGTGATGGCCCTGATACTCCAGCACGGTATGTACCCTGTGGCTGGGAAGGCAAAGCGTTCATCCAGCTCCTTCAAGGCTGCCACTGAGACTGCCTCATAAATCATCTGGCTGGAATAACTCAGGTAGGGCTTAATCCAAAGCTCATTGAAACTGGTGGAAAGCTTCCCACTGACTTCAGCCAGCTCTGGACAGGGACCTCAGGGCTTTATAAAACCACCATCCCAGGCACAGGACTCCCTCTGCCTCTGAGAAGCAGGATAAAGCCTTGGTTTTGCTGCAGAGCAGCCAGAGACGTAGCACATCCCATCGCCCAAATGGCTGGTAGGGTCTTATTTTCCCTGACCTCGCACCTGACCAGTACAAGTCGCATGCAAAACGCTAGCAGACAGGCACAGATAATGCTGCCATACTTTGTCCTGGGTTTTCCAGGCTATGCCTGGATAGCTTTGTTTCCCCATGAGGTACAAGAGCTGCTGGGTCCCTGCCAGCCTGAGCACGTGCAATAAATCTGACAGCCTGGGATAAAGCTGGACAAAGCCCCATATGCCTGCTGTTGGCCACATGCCCCCTAGACAGGTCTGCACTGCTTCTCCAAACATGCTGATAGGCCTCCAGGGTTCCCAGACAAATACAAATAGTAAAAAAATCCTGGCTGGACAAAATTTCTGGGTGGGTGCAGCGAGCTCGTATGGGGAATGCAGGATGTGTGGGATACCTTGAAATTATAAGAGCTTAAAATGCCAAAAGAACCCACTAGCTTTGTGAGTTGGTGGCAATCTATAGCTGAGTTGCCACAGCATGAACTACTAGCCAAAGCACATGCCAGGGATGAACTGCACTGTTGGTCTTTAAAAGACAAAGCCAGCCTCTCCTCAGGATCAATCCTAAGCATATCAACCCAGAATGCCAGAGCTACACAGCACAACAAAGCATCATTTCCAACAGCTTTCTAATGGGGGGAAAAACAAACAAACAAACAGAAAACAAAACAAAGCCTAACATCAGCCCTCAAGGATCGAACTTGCACTAAGCATCTCCAAAGATTAGACATAAGTGGCTGGACATCAGTGGCTCCAGTATGACAGATACTTGGGAAGCTGATGGCACATGTATCCTGCCCAGTCCTTACATGGCCTCTGGCCCCTGGGAAAGACCCAATAAGGTCAAGTCACTCCCTCTCAGGCATTTGGTGCATGAGTCCATGCTGCTACAAGGTATCTTCACCCCTCGATCTCTCTTGGGCACAGGCGTCAGGCTGGGAAGACAGGCTTTCTGCGTGCCTTTATCCCAGGAAATGGCAAAATGCGTCACTGCGGCTGGCTGAGTTACAAATACTGCTGTTTGATATGGCTGCTTGCACTTCTGGGTTTACTGTTCAACTCAAAGAAGCCTAAACAGTGTCTGGGAAACCTAGCAAACATGTTACAGCCTACACATAATCATCTGTCTGTCAATCTCCGAGCAGAAATGCTTACAAGCAATGGTGGTTTCCCCATAGCAAGGCTACAGCCCATTGATGGGAGGGTGCAGGGAAATGCCCTGTTCCCAAGCAGCAGGCACCAGTGCTCAGAGCTGATGGAGCAATTTCAGCCTCCATGCCGCTCTTTAGGACCGCATGATTTACTTGACAGAACACCTGAAGTTGTTCAGACAGAGGGAGGTCCAGCAAGCAGATTGCTGTGGCTTAAGACCTGTACACCAACACATTATAGTCATGTTTTTAAAGGTGAAGATGATCCCCAAATCCCTAAAAATCTGAATTCACCAAAAACAATTCAGTGTGATATATTAATTGGTTAACAACTGCCCAAATGCTGCTGCCCTTAGCTTGACGTGAGTGGTGCAATGCAACAGGGGCGGATGCTTAGCTCCTCCCTGGTGTTGCCCCTGCTGGGCCAGGTTTTCCAGCTCCTAGAGTCACATCTGAACTTGAGAATCACGATCTGTTATTGTTAAGGCAAACCAAAAATAAAAAGGCCAGACTAAATTATTCTTAAGATCTCAAGATTTTTAAAGCAGGCTTGTGACTTTTAAGCAGTCTGACTCATGATACTTGGATGCTTGAAGCTGGCAGCAGTGGAAGGAGTACAGCAAGATTCAGCGCACAGCAATTTATTGCTAAAAGCCTTCAAATGTGTGGGAAAGGGCATGGAGCACTTCTGCAGCGATTTGGCAGAAAATAGGGACACAGGCCCAAGCCCTTCTCCTCCGGCCAGGCCTGCCACCGAGCTCACCTCCTCCACAAAAGTTACCACACAAAATCCCAGCAAAGCTGCCCCAGATGCGGCAAAAACACTTCCCAAAAGCAGGCGTGGGTGGGTGGGGAGAAGGCTATTTCCCATGTCAGTGCTCTCTGGCCCAACTGCTTGCCTTACCCATCGCACAGGGGCAGGCATCGCCATTGGCCTGCAGGGCTCTCCAGGGAGGGCTCCTTCGAGGGACACCAGTGAGCTGACAGCCCAGCTTTTGCCTCCCCAGGGCTCCAGTTTCCCCGTGCGTGATTCAGGGACTGGAGCTGGGCCCATGTGTAAAATTGCAGGCCACACCGATGACTTAAGGGTACACCTGAAGTCCTGGATTTCAGCTTCCACGGAGGCAAGGGCAGAGCCCCTTATTCCCAACCCCCTGAATCTGTCACTCCCTCTGCAAGCCGGCCACACCACATCGCTGATGCCCAGACCACCCCACAGCCTCTGCACACTCAAGTAAGGGCTTGGATGCCTTCACAGGGAAGTTTAAGTGACATTTTTCCGTAGTGGAAAACGCCTCCCGAACTACACCCCCCAGCATCCTGCACAGGCCACCCAGAGCCTCTATTAGCAACAAACTCTAAAGTCTCAGCCTTTCCTTAAAAGATTTTCTGAAAGCAGAAATACATAACTACCATGTACTATACCACGCACTAGCACAGGCTCTGCAATCCCTCCCACACTGCCCAACAAAACCCTATTGCCCCAGGCTTGAGGGGAAACCTTCTGGAACAAGAAGGCAGTTTAGTGCCTTGGCATATTTGCTTCTCTGCCTTTTGGGGGGGTCACCAACCAGGTGACAGCTGCGTTTTGCAAAGGGAGGCTGCTGCCTCATTTCCCCACCATGCTTCATATGAGTTTATTTATCTGCAGGCAATGCTGCTGCTTTCCAGAGCTCACGGGTTCAGCTTATAGCCTGACAAGAGCTCACATACCCAGTTCTGCATGGCAACTCTTCCATTCGGAAAGAAAGGCGGCTATTGCATCTCGTCTCCCTGGGATTTCCCACCCAGGTATCATCAACTTCCATCAGAGAGCCCTGCTTATGTAGCAGGGCCTTATTAAAAAGCTCAAAGCAGGCACACAAAATATATTTGGTATTGCATTCTGCTGACTTCCATTTTAAACTGCTTTGAAAATGTATTTTCTCCCACAACATTCAGAACCTGAAACACCATGGCTTTGTCAGCACACGGGAAAGACCAGAAACAAAAATGAAGTCTATATTCAAAATTAAATATAAAAATGAGAACAAAATGTGCTTAAACCTAAGTTCCATCTTTTTTAAATCACTGCAGTGTTAATAAACTAAATAAAATCTTTGTATCAGAGAAACCATTTCAAAAATAAATGGAGCCTGACTTTTTCCTTGCTTACTCCAGTGTAAATCATGGGAAATTCCATTAAAACAAACAGAACTGTACAGGTGTAAAATGGGGTTAGTTAATGCTTCTTTCATAAATTGACATCATCGTACCCACATCAAGTTCTGTTCTCATTTGAACCAAAGTAAATCTATAATAACTGATAGCAAATGCTGCCCTCGTTGCCCACATAAAGTGGCTGTAAATGAATAAAAAGTGACAGGCAGTACAAATACAACAGCAATTGCACAGTAACAGCAGACAATTCACAGATATGCTATATTATATACACCAAATGTATCTCAGCTTTCAATTGATATCTTAGAATTTTAGCTCTATGTCTGAGAAGACAAACACAATCCCTTCTGCACAGCACTCACTCACATGGCATCTGAGCATGAGTGTTCCTATCAATAATTTCATGGGGACATAGTCCACCTTCACTGTTTACATTTGTCCATATAACAGAATAACTAGAAGCCAGGGCATTTACAACAGCCTAGGAGAATTAGACACTAGACACCTCTGACTTCCAGCCTCTCCTACAATATTAACTAAAGCTATTTACGGCACATATTGTTAGCAAGGACCCTTTGGTTAGCTATAGCATACTTTGGAATTTAAGACATAAATCCTCAAAGCCACTGCTAATCAAAGGCAAACCACCGGCACCATTTTCCATACATAATACCTCACCTCTCTGCTTCAAGGCGCATTTCCTCACGCTTTTGCCTCCTGAGTTCTCTGCGGCGTTCAAAGTCATCCATGGTGGGTGTTCAAGCGTTCAGAGCTCTGGAAGTATCCAAATCTAAAAGGGAGATGACCACTTAGATGAGAGAGAAAACACAATGCATGCGTTTAACTAACTGAGTCTGTTTAGTTTTGTTTTGCTTTCTTAACTTCACTGTAACTATTTTCTTTTTCCATCAAAAAATTTAACTTCTTCAGTATTGTTGAGATAAACAAGATTAATGAAATGCCTTGTAGGATAAACATAGCCCATGCCTGCATTCAGTTTCCTAGTTAAAATTAAATCAACATGCTTTAAGTAAGGACTGTATACATCTGCTAGCCGCAGACTAGCTATTTGTAACGGGATTTTAACTTTAAGCTTGTAATTTTTTACTGGAAGCAGTAAAAACGCTGCACAAGAGATTTCTTATTTTCTTTAGTTGCACAAATAATTGAAAGTTTTGCAAAAGTTAGTCCTCGTCTGTCTGTTCCCACTCCCCCTTCAAAAAAAGGGAAAGGAAAGGGAAAAGAGAAGAGAAAATGAGAAAAGAAAGAAAAAGAAGAGAAAAGGAAAAGAGAAAAGAGGAGAAAAGAAAAAGAGAAAAGAAGAGAAAAAGAAAAGAGGAAAGAAAAAAAGGAAAATAAGCCGCAGCTTTTAAATGCCAGCCAGGAGAAGCCAAACTATGTATAAATCCTGCTCAAAGAATCAAAAGTAACAATATATATATTTTTTTTTTTTAGTTTAATCCACACGTTTTCCCTGTGCCCTACCTTCTTTATGATTTAGTCCATGAAATATTTTCCCCTTTACAGTTCTTCATATACAAAGCCTTTCCAGCCTTGGTTTATATCCCATCAAGCCGAGTATTACAGAATTCCCCTGCAGCCCCCAAACCAAAAATGACTACCAGAAAAGGGAAAGCTGTTCTCTTTTTGTCCCTGCTTTGTTTACAGAGCTGTCAGTGGTTAGTTAAACTCTGCCTGGAATCTGGCATTTAAGGCCTGCTCTAAGATTGCTTCCTGTGCAGGGCTGGAGGCCTCAGCTTCCTCTGCAATCCTAGCCTAGGCGCTGCACTCAGAGGATTTCCACCCCCCCCACGTCCCCCCCAAAAAACGTTTTCCAGCCCGTTAGTACAAGACCGGCCATTTACGCCGCAGAGAAAGCCAGCGTGCAGATGCAGACTAAAATTTTCAAAGGTGGCTTATGAACCGCTTGCAGTTTAAGGGAAACGAAGCCAAGGTGCATTTGTAAATTATTTGAAGTGCTCTGTTTGTAGATGCAGATCTGTCTTGTGGCTTTATATTCCTGCCCACCAGTGCAGCGTCCAAGCGCCCTCCCTATAAAATCACTGGCAATAGCAAAGCCTCTCATGGCTTAAGGGAATCCGTGGCTTTTTCTGCCCCCTTTTTTGGATTAAAACACTGCTGAGGGCAGGGGTTTTGTGAAGGTTATTTTATTAGTTTACTTTTCCTGGGGGTGTTTTTCTTTCTGATTTGTTCCTGGATTGGGGGATTTAAAGTTTTGTTGTTGTTGTTGCAACTTTCTTCGTGTTTCGCTGGCTGGGGTTGTTTTGTGGAGGTTCAAAGGGAAAGTTAATTTTGCAAATCCAATAGTGATTTTACAATTGCTCCTTCTTTTTTTAATGCACAATTAGACAATATCTATAAAAAGCAAGTTATAACAAGACATTTTTTCAAATCTTGTGTTTGTTTACTCTTACCACCATGTACCCCTTGAAGAACACAAAACAGAAAATCTGCCGTTTTCTCCCAAGAAGTGTTTTCATCACAGCCTACGCGTGCTGATAAATCCCGCCTCAGTTCCTTTGCTAGAGGGCCCGTGCGTTGCAGGACTGATGTGGTTCCCCCTGGCTGGGAGACGAGAATCAAAGGAGGAATGATACACTACAGAGAGCAAGTTCGAAGCAGCATGCTGCTGGATTTCTGCACAAAGAGGGCAGATGACAGCATCTGCAGGAACTAAGACTGCACCAGGCAGCAGCATTTAGTCTGTGGAATACAGTCACCATCAGAGATTTAAAATATAAAGAGCTGACACCTCATGTGCTAGAACTGAGAATCCCAAAGTTTTTTTCCCACTCTACCTCCCCAAAGCAGACATGCTTTGACATCCGATTTATTTGCACCTTCACTTCTTACCCAGGCAGGTACATCCCCCTCTCCACCTCTCCTGACTAAGGTATACTCCTCGCCTCCCCCCAGCACCAGACTCTGTGCACCCACATTTCTCCCATCCCCTCCCCAAATATCCCAGCCAATATCTCTGCCCCTTCCCTTCCCTACATGGTCCTCAGCACTGTCTCTCATTTCCAAAAGCTCAAGTTCTCTTCCTCATGAGGAAAGCTGAGGAGGTTAATAACAACCCAGAACTATTTCTGTTCTTCCTCCCCTCTTTCCTTCCCAGGAGCATAGGGGAGATTGCACAGCAGCCATAAGAAGTTCCCTGATGCAACAACCTTTCTCCATCTACAGGGTGCTTTTCTGTCATTCGATGAAGATCAGATGGATGGACATCTTGGGAGGATGTCTAGGGTTTATTAGAGTGTAGTGTCTCTTTTTTTCCTGTTACACATTTTTAACAATTTGGTATCAAACCAAAAAAGTTTCATTTTTCTGAAAAGAGGAAAACTATCCCTAAGGAAACTGTTTCAAAATCAAAAGTAATGTTTCATTCAACCTCAAAAAAAAAAAAAAAGTTTTCAAAGTATGATGGAAAATGCTTTGATATCTCAATTTTTTTCTGAGTTGTTTCCAGGTATGTTTTTCACCTAACTCAACCAGAAGTCATCAATAAATTTTAAAGAAGCAGAAATATATATATTTTTTTTAGCAAATAGAAGTAGATGTCTGAAACTATTTGACCAGTTCCATTCCCCTGACATCCACACACATACGCAGATTACTGGAATATGGGGCTACTCTTACACTGTGAAAGAGTACACCACAAGAATTATCATTTTGTTGCTTCTAACTCTAAAACAAGACCCTCAGCATCTTTTCAACCTTTACACAACTGAAATAACACTGAAAGAATCTGAAGTGAACTCTCGGGAGTTTTCCACTACCAGACTCAGAAAAGGGACCTATGGAAGAATATTATGAAGATCTCTGTCCTTGCTTTTTTTTTTTTTTTTTTTTTTTTTTTTTTTTTTTGAAATACCTCTCAGAAACTACTGAAGATAATTCTTGCTCAGGACCTCAGATTTTCCACAACCTCACATACAAGGGTCTTCTCAGGGTCCCTCTCATTTGATTCTGAGACTGAACCTTTAGATCATGGGATGTCTGATGAACCCTGTTGTATTCCTGAAGACATTCTAAGACAGATTAAGAGAAGACAGATAAGCAAAGTAACTTACTTACAATATTTACCAGCATTGCCACATTACTTGAATCAGAATCATAGCAAAGTATGTGCTCTGCAAATACCATCTCTCTTCAAAAAACACTCTTCATTTCAAAAGCAGTACCAGTCTCTCTCTCTCTCTCCTTTTCATCTCTGCACCTCACATAATGCCTTTGATCTCCAATTGACTATGGTTTATTGCCAAAATTTGTTGCGTTTTTCATTGTCTTGCTAAAAAGTGTGTCATTCAAGGGCAGCCACGTTTAATCCGTCCTGCTACAACACACATGCATGCAAATCCCACTCCTCTTTATGTCTCATCCCGTAAGAGAGTTTAAAATTTTGTCTTCTTTCAGCTTTCATCAAGGTGGAAAATGAGAGGAACGCACAGTAATTGTAAATATATGACAAAATATTTTAACAGCAATTAATGGGAATATGCTCTTTGAAAGCGAACGATAAATTGGCTAGGTAGAAATACACGCACAGCCACAAGACCTGTATAATTCCAGTATGGAATTATACAGTAAACTCCTGTTCTGGCTCAGATTTAATACTGCCCTCATCCTATTCCCAGCACTGATTTCAGAGACAACTCAGCACCCAGGGGGCCTTAAAAACAGATAAACTAAACTGGTAACAAGCAAGTGAAAATGCAAACTACTACTCAGGTCTTTAACAAACAGAAATGTCTGTCTGTCAAGACCTGCCAGTCACTTTTCCATTACACTGAACGAGCTCCCAGACTGTGATGTTTACGCTGAGCCTCTTCACCAGCTTCAGCCTAGTTGAGCCAAGAAACTTCAAGACAGAGCATATTCCTTAATATAGGACGGCTGTGTATTGCACAGGGCTCTACGCTGGCCATGTCTGGTGGCAGCATTGTGCGAGCACATGCCATCTTCCTTCCCTCCCAGTACAACGAAACAATTGCAGATTTCCTCTTGGTGACCTTCGGGTCCAAAAAGCCTGAAAGTCAGGCCTGCTTCCTTAACGTGGGATTGCTTACTGCTCCGGTGTCATGAATGCCCAGGGCAAGCTTCACGCAGACAACTGCTAGGCAGATTGCAAGCTGTGATGACTGCCTGTGCAAGAGAGCACGGATCAGAGCTCTTGCCAGACCCCCTCTCAGCAGTTTGGCCTATTCTACATTAAAGAATGAGGGCAGAACATAGCTTCAGTCACCTGAAGGGGAGTGAGGGGATTTGGCCTTCAGTTTCTTTGTAATGAGAGATTTTCTGCTAAATTTCCTTTCTTACCTGAAGACATCTGCATGCACTGTGCACCAGGTACCTCCCCTTCCTTCCTTAGCCCCACAAGCCTCTCATGCTGGTGACTGAAGTGGGGTACCAGCACAGACCCATCCTGCACTGTTGCAGGACCCCAGTTCTTTGGGAGCTGGTAGAAATTTTAGGATGCACAGGAAGCACAGAAAAGGACTAGAGTGGTAAAAAGGATAATAGCGGGTTTCTTCATGAAAGAAACCATTACCAGTTCCTAGCCTCTCCCTCCCTCATCCTGAGCAGCAGGAGGCAGGAACAGGGCAAAGAGAAACAGCTTCAAGATTTCCAGGAGAACTCAAGTAACACAGTGCAGAATAAGGAGGCCAATGAGATATCACAGCCCAGTGCCTAGCATCTGAGGTGAACCCAGCAACTGGGGATGCTCCTACTTGGTTCTGCCTCTGATTTACTTTGTAGCCTTAGAGA